TTGAGTAAAGTCATTTCAGCATCAATTGACCAGGGCCTCAGGCCTCTCTCGTGCATGCTTTTTTCCGTCATCTCTTTCTCTCTATCTAAGGAAACTAAACTGCCATAAACTAAATAGCAGTTTGCAAATAGTGCCTGTTCTGGCTCGATTACTGAAATCAAGCATACCATATGCACTTAGTGATATACCATTAGCAACTTTTACTTCTCAGGTCTTCTCTTTCGTAGAACTGAAAGTGCTCCCTACACTCTTAAGGGGTCATTTTGCTGTATATGATTTGAAATTGTGCTTTCACAACTATACACTTTAAATACTTTTACAATGTTGCCCATTATGTCTATGAGGTGAGAGATTGTTCGATGTGCACAAATACTTAAGACAGACGAATTATTCTTGGGCATATATATAGTGCATTTTTCACGGATGAAAGCTTGGCTTTAAAGTATTTCCCAGTTGTCATGTGTTTACAGTTTTTCCATGCTAGTGCAAATCTGCATCCTGTTATCTAATACTGATCACTTTTATATGCATTGTTGAGGACAGCTCCCTCGTATTCAGGTGACTGATCCAGTGGCCAGATACTATGGGCTAAAGCGTGGACAAGTTGTGAAAATAATCAGACCGAGTGAGACTGCAGGGCGGTATGTCACTTATCGATATGTTGTTTGAACGTGGTCGTCTGGCACTATTGCTGCAGCTTAAATTAAGACAAGACAGCAACGAGATTTCTTTTGGAACCCAAAGGATTTCCGGCAGTCAGTTTGGTTTTTACAGTCTGTGTTATGTGTCTTTTCTGATGCAAATGTGCAATAGAACTCTTGAGGTACTGTAATTGGTTCTTAGGAATGTTCTTTTTAGATGGACTGTATAATGTTGTAATGTTATTGATGATTGTCTACACCTACATTGGTAGTCCAAATGATGATATAATGTTATAGCTTGGGTATCAAATGCTTGAAGTTTCTTCTTTGATATATTGAACTAATTTTTTTTTTTTTTTAAATCTTGATAAATGTTTGCTCAAGCAACCCCATAAAAAAATAAAAAATAAATAAAAATAATTAACTTTTACTATGTCTGATCAAGATGCAAGAAATCTAACAATGCCAATTTTTTTTAGTGAACTAATTGTTTCTATGGGAACAGTTAGGGCAATGAATTGAATTGCATATAGCCCAAGGTTTAACACCTCCATATTCAGCTTCATATTCTGCCCATTTAGAAAATAACACTTTTGGTTGCTAAATTATATATGATCCCATGTAAAAAATGTAGATATATCGTAGTCATTAAAAATAACAAATCAACAGCTACAATTGAACATAAATGTATCAAAGAAATCTACCTAATTAGCATATGTTAAATTTCCTAAAATCACGTTTAAATGCAAAATCCATCTGGCAAAAAATCCCCTCTCTCCATCTAAATAGGGATATGAAGTATAAATTTTTCTTACGCATTCTAATTCACACCAAGTAAATACCAATTTTGGTTCCACAAGTATTAGTAAAATGACCGTTTTAGTCCACATGTTTAATTTCTACCAATATTCATTCACAACTATTGTTTTAGTACCAATTTTTCATCCATGATTATTGTTTTAGTACCAAAATTCATCACAAACCCGCCACCTTTAGTTTAAGACATGCCGAAATATGAAAATTTTAAGGATATTTTTGTCCTTTTTCAAATTAAGATCCCAAACTGAGCATGAGTAGAGGAATTTAAGCTCTAAGATCAATCACTAATTGCAGTTCTCTTCCTCAAATTAAGGTAAGATGAGGATGAGAACTGCGAATTAAGATCGATTTTAGAGCTTAAATATTTTTATTTATGCTCAAATTGGGAACTTAAGTTGAAAATGACAAAAATGCCCTTAAAATTTTTAAATTTTGATATTATTTAAACGGAGGGGTGATCGTCGTGATGAATTTTGACACTAAAATAATAGTCGTAGATGAAAATTGATACTAAAACAATAATCGCGGATGAAAATTGGTACTAAAACAATAGTCGTGGATGAAAATAGGTAGAAATTAAACATGTGGACCAAAATTGTCATTTTGCTAATACTTGTGGGATCAAAATTGATATTTGCTCAATTCACGCTAGTAATCCAAAATGCACACTGCTGACTGTGCAAATGCACACTTTAACGCTGAAGTTTGTTTTATAAATATTGCAAACTTGAAAAAAATTCTCAACCATTGACGAACCTCGATGAGTGGCTGTGATATGATCAATCCACACTTGTTACCTGAAGACATTGCTGCTACTCTAAATTACCCAAAATGCACACCTACGGAAGTCACAATGCATACAATATTACAAACTTGAAAGTTTGCAATAACTATAGAATTGACACCATTGCTTTTTAGAGGACCTCTCTTTTTATTAGGTGATGCGAATATTTTTTTTATATACTAAATCCTCAACCATTACTTTTTAGAGGATCTCTCTTTTTATTAGGTGGTCGATTCAAACTCATGACCTCTGGCATGAATTGGCTTTGATACCAAATTGAAGCATGTGCTCCATCTCAACTAAAAGACTAAGTTGATGGTTGGATTGCACATTTATGTTTATATATTATATGCTCAACAATATATGCAATAAATATTTGTGGAAGTTTATAAGAAAATTCTTGGCAGAACAATTTGAGAATTTTGTATATCTTGTATGTCTTAATTTGATTTTCCTTCTTGTTTAATGAGGAATCTTAAAGACTTATAAGGAAGTGAGCACATGCCTAATATGTTAGATGATCCCATTTCCATTTCCTCAATTTCCTCTTTATCATATATATTACCGATTTATTTTTTTCTTTCCCTAACTCTATAAGTCTTTTAGTTATAATGTGATTATGGATCTTGTCCTGAAAGTTTTGAAGGCAAGAGTTCCAAGTGTGAAGAATTGTTTTCTCACTTCAACAAGGCTAAGGTTTCAAAATAATTTTTCAATATTGCTCCCTGAAAATGATAAATAATTTTCTTAGTTTAGTCAATAGTCATTCACAATGCACAATTAAGGATCTATTTTTATATAGATGGGCTGTAAGGGCAATCCTAATAGGAGGATTATGCACAAATTTTAAGGGAAAAATGACAAGGTGGAGGAGAGAAGAGAGAGGAGAGAAAGGGGATGGGATTGCCCTACAAAAATGAAGACTTTGCATAAGGATGGGACCCACAATGAAGAGGGAGAGTTGCCTCACACATGTGAGGCGCAACTCTCGCGCCCGCCTGGCGCGTAATTCTAATTTTTTTTTTCTTTTTTAATTTCAGATTTTAATTTTTTTTTTTGTTTTTTTCTTTTTTAATTTCAGATTTTAATTTTTTTTTCCTATTTTCATTTTCTCTTTTCTAATCACACCTGTAAAATCTCCATAAAATCTTCACACTATTGAGGATGCCCTAAAGGTTGTCATGAACGGATTTACATACGACGTGCACAATCATCATTATTTCAAGATTGCAGGTAGGAATGACAATTGGGCGGGGCGGGTGCGGGGGACATATCCCCTGCCCGCAACCGCATTTCCAACCCACTCCCCGCACCCGCATCCGCTCCCGCGCGGGTAATGAAAATCCTACCCCATACCCGCCCCCGCGGGAATTTTGCGGATGCGGGTAATATCCAACCCGCAACTTTAATTATTTATATTACACTTAAATCTAATAAAAATCTTATACTACAATTGTAATTATCACATTGATTTTTTTTATAAGTTTGAACATAGCTCTAAAATTTAATAAGAGCCAATGATGTTAGTTCTTAATTGGAACTAAAATTTGTGTTGATAGTATAAATTGTATTTAGTGTCTACTCATTATGTTATTTGTGTTGTTCCTATTCAACTTTCATAAACAAAAAACTAAGAAGTTTAATTCATTATACATTTTTAATTATAAAATATACATAAACTTATATAATAAATGAATACTAATAACAATATATATAAGTGCGGGGCGGGAATACCTCCCCCGCACCCACCCCCATACCCGCGCGGGTAAAAAAATTTCCCCCATACCCGCACCCATTACCCAAATTGTGCGGGTATTTTAAAACCCGTAGAGGCGGGGATGCGGGGAACCCGTTAGGTGCGGATAAAATTGCCATCCCTAATTGCAGGCAAAGGAATATTCATACAACAAGTGCAATGGATTTCCTTTTGAAGGATGAATTGCAAACAGTTCATAGTATAAAGTATCACAAAAACTAAAAAACAACACTTCAAAAATGATCGAGAAACTAAAAATAGACATGCCTCTTGAGTTTAAATTACTAGATTGTATTACATTAAACAAGTGCCATTGTAACCGTGCAATCCATCCACATAATTAATAATAATGTTTAATAAATATATAGGGACTAAAATGAGTTATTTGGTTTTAAATATAAGTAGCCTAATTAAATGTTACCTTTATAACTTTATCACCAAAAGACAAGAGACGCCACTTTAACATGTTTTCTTAAATGGACAAGATTAAAATATTTAGCAGTAATTAATGAATACAAATAGGTTATAAAGTCACATCAACATGTGCAAAACACATGTAAGATGCCTAATTTAGGTGTTAAAATATTACAGTTAGGAGTAATAATGAAATTGAATTTGAAGTTAATTCGAAATGTATCCACAATAAACATGCATGCAAAGAAAAACACATGCTATTCTTTATTGCACTATATAAGTTAATTTTGAAGCATTTTTAGGAGAAATAAATAAACAAAAATTCCTTCCTCATCCGACCTTAATAAAAGCCATTTGCCATTCCAAAAGGAGCTTCCTCAGAATTGCGTTGGTTAAAGTGCGTGCTTAGGTGGAAAATTCTTGCTGAGTTGGACTCCACATCATGTGCCAAATAAGCAAGTAGTCACAGCTGAATTTGGCAATAATACAAGTTCTATAATAAAACAGAACATGAAAAATTTAGCCCATTGGCTGCAGATTTGATGAGGATCAGCAGTGTAGTGACTAAAAGATATTGACAGGCCACTAGCAGAGAGAAGTAAAAGATGGAACTGTAAAATGGACTTTTGTGATTTTCAATTTTTCCTGTAAAATTGCGGAAAAAAAAGAACACTATAAAACCCCCTTCTTCTTCGCCTTTGAATTGATCACTAAAAAAAAAAAGAAAAGCACCAAAAAGAATTCCAAGAAAAGCAATTTGCCCAGAGCACTACCACTGCAGACTAACACATCTCCTAACACTAATTTTCAAACACTAAACTCAATCCCCTTAAAAGTTGTTCCTTTAAAGCCACAGTAGGACAGCATAGCGCCAATAATTTATTGTCTTCGGACTACATAAAGCAAAAGGCTGTCCTCTGCTTGTGAACATAATTCAACGTACCTCCAAAGGAAACAGACGAGGAAAAGAAGCAAAATTCCGCCAAGAAAATCATCATCAGAACATTAAGCTTCCAATTCAGAAGCACTTGACTCAGTTGCTGCAGCTCCAGATTTACCATAAAACTCCGACTGCATATGTGCATGGGCTCCTTTGTAAATTTTCAATGTCGGCTTCAATTTCATGTACTGCAAAAGGGGACAAGTACAACCAAAATAAGGGAAATGAGTAAGGCACAGCATCATTGTTGGCAGGCTATTTTCTATTAAAGCGAATATTTGTTTTTACCCTTGAAAAGAAGGAAAATCTACCATTTCGAGATCCCACAAACAGGGAACCCCCTTCCTTTTACATTTGAAAAAATAAAAAAACAGGCACCAAATATAGAACGAATACTGGAAAGGCTGTGCTTTCTTTAATCTTTAATCCACACACATGTAATCCAAGCCAAAACTCTGGCTAGTTCACTCATATATTAGGCCCATTGTCACCAGTTGCAATAAATAGGACAAAGAGTTTCTAGAAATCAGTTATTCCTAAGGGAAAAAAAAAAAAAAAACAAATTTTCACCATTCCTTTTTGTGCAAGGCGCCTACCGCCTATATTCCCTACACAAGTCTACTAAAAAGTGTATTTGATCTGGCAGTATATTTGTCCATAAAAGGAAAGGTATAGATGAAAAAGTTAGCCCTAAATCCAGTTTCTGAATACAGGTAATCTATTGCCATGGGAGAGGAAAATATGGCAATCTAGTTAGAGGTAGGACCAAAAAATATGATAAATAGCTTTTGGTAAACATCAAGTCTAAAGTTCTGGAGTTCAAATTATAGAATTATCAGGGTACAAGTAGTTGTTGGCCTGAACAATAGGCCGAGGCTTAAATTATGAAAACAGTAAAGCCCTCATTGCTGTTCCATATTCTATTATTTCTTTTATTAATCATATTGCGTAGTATGGAGTACTAAAATGTATGGAGTAACTACAATCAATAATTGAGAACTTTAACAAGAAAAACGGGTGAAGATGTGAAGATCACTATCAACACAAAATCAAGCGAATGAAATAACATTGAACACTAGTTCATAATTCTGGAAGACTAAATACAGTCCTATCAACTTGAAAGGCAGAATTCAAGGAGCCAGTGCCATCAGTTAATAAAAGTGAATTAACTCAAGCTCATATATTCACATTCTATAAACAAGTCAGGCACCAGAACTAGTTACCTCCTGATAAAAAGCATTTATCTCCTCCTCTGTTAAGCCTTCATCCTCCCCAGCATTTTCATCCCAGCCAAGTGAACGTAAGAAGGCTGCTTCTTCATCAGGATCAATCATTCCATTAATACACAGCTCACCTCCATCAGAACACTGCTGAGCCTTGTCAAGAGTCCCATGAGGGTCACCATTGCTGGTAATCTGACCATCCTCAACAACAGAACATAGTGGAGCATTGCTAACCCCTTCTTTATTTGAATCATCCACCAAATTGGAAGGAGATAACACTGCTCCAGAAACTGGAAGTACAGTGGTTTTTGTGGAAGTCTTCTTTCTCATGAGATTAAAAAAATCACTCCTACTTTGGGCTTGGGCCATGGATAATTTCTTCTCAGTAGTAGGTCTTGGATTCAGTGTCAAGGCAGCAGCTTTTCCCTCAAGTGCAGACATCTTTGGCGTGCTTGAGTTTGTCAAAGGAGACGGGGGAGAAACTGAAGGTGGCTCATTTGCAACTTTTCCACCAGCAGTATTAGTCAAACTGGGTGCATCCTTTGGAACAGATGTAGCAACAGGCCTCAGAACCAGAAATTTCCCGACATGAGATGTATTTGGAGTGTCAGATCTAGCTCGTCCACGGGGCTGACTAGTAAGTTGAGATGAATAAGGTTGTAGTTGAGTGCTTTTAGCAGCTACAACCATCTCACTTGCTCTAACAGCTGATTTTGGTTGCTTCAGTTTATCAGAAGAACTGGATACCTGAAATGAAACTCAGTTGATAGTTATGTACTCTGATAAACAGCTTGCACATCATTTAACATACAACTGTTACATGTTAAAAAAATTGATAGGAAAATATTGAGTTCATCACTACAAATAGGAATACAGAAATTATAACACCCATAAGTACTCATTAACTATCTGGTGTTTGAAAAGAGTCCAGATATTTAGAGTAAGAAGTAGATATTGAGAACATGGAATGAGGCATCACTTTAATTAATTATTGGATAAATGGATGACAGATGACTATACCAAGTGGCAAGTGTTTGAGGTTATATTCCTTTCCTTTATATAATAGTGAACATACCCAGCAATCCAGATTTATCACCTTTCCAGTATAAGCTTACACAATTTCACACAATGCACTGTATCTAAATCTATGCTCTATTATGTAATGTAACTTTATATGACGTATTATATTGATATTAATATTTTTTTACAAAGATATTTCAATCTTTTTGGTAAATAAGAGCACTAAGATGGTGCAAGATTGCAGAGGAAATCCAAAGACAAGTGGATCTGAAATAATCCATAAACTCCTCAATATCAAGCATTGGTCACTCACACCAAAAGAACAAACGTTTCAAAATTCAACATTTTACAATATGCAGAGGATCATAACATCTCCATCTTTTAATAGAAAAAAGGGATAAAAAGCAACAAATATATTTGAAACAAAGCCTTCTACTTCATTTAATATAAACAGGATCATCAATAAAGAACGTAAGTTCACTTCATTGTCACCCAACCATTATCATATCAAGGATTAAGAAAGGTGTGAAAGTTATTTCAATTCCCAATTTGTAAACTACAATAATTACACCAGACAAATTAAAAAACATACAAATATTTGTGATAACATGTACAAACATATGATAACAATAAATTATGAATATGTAACAAAATATAATATCCATACAGGAGCAACATTCTAAACTATTTATCAAACTTTCAACTATGGTGTCTTGCAGTAAATATGCAAACAAGCATGTATCAGTATGTTATCATACCAGGGCTTTAGGCAATGTGGGAGTCACAGGTATCAATTGTCTGGACTGCTTCACAGCCAATTCCTCAAGCCTCTGTGTTTTATCAGGTACCTGCAGAAATTTAAGATAACAGATACACATTAAGATGCAATTAAGATCGAGTGAAAAGTAGGTAACTGAACTACTGTCTCTACTGAAGAGGTTAAAAAAGTAAGTTGGTTACCTGGGACGTGGCACGAGCTCGTGCTGGACCTTGTGACAAAGCCTCAGCCATGTTAAGACCAGTACTTGCACCCGAAGTTCCAGGTGAAAGGATTACAGAACCAGTTTGCTGAGAAGATGAATTCCCCACACCATTGCTGCCAATTATAGCAGGAACTTCAGCCAATGCCGATGTCCATTTCTCACCACCAAGCAAAGCTGTATTGCCAATTGGCAAACTCTGAATAGCAGAGGTCAACCCTGGAGAAGAAACTCTGCCCACTGGCTTCTCTTCAGTTCCAAGAGAGGGAAAGTCCTTTTCAAAGGAAACCTTCTGATCTCCATTCAGATTACTGCCTCCAGAAAGCACACCATTGGCATTATTCTGAATGTTGTTCATGCCATTTTTTGTGTCTTCAGTTCTTCGAGGCACCAACTCACCAGGTTTCCTGGAAACAAGTGATTGAGAACGCCTCAAACTATTCTTCTCAACCCTACTGGTTAGTAAGCTCCCAAAAGGATCAGATGAGTTAGATTCCCACAGCTCCAAATTAGCTGACCTTTCCTTCTCTCTGTCATGGTTTTTATCACGATGGCTTCGAGTGAAACTACTGTACGGATGCTTAGAACTATTACCGCTTAAACTTCGTCTAGAATTTGATGATGAACTTCGGTCCAGGAACTGAGAGCGTGGGCTATCCTTGTCATTTATGCTCCTAGAAGATCTATTTCGAGTGGTTGAGGATATATCTGCAACAAGATAGAAGGGAAAACCTCAAAGTCAGAATACAATGAAGACAAACATTGAAAAAAGTGTAAGCATAAAAAGGTTATATCAATCAACCAATACCCGAATGAAAGTGGTGGCCTGAACTTCCACCACCAGTTATACTTCCAGTACTTCTCAACCATTCAGGAACTAATGCAGGTTCACTTCTTTCCATCAGCACAGAACATCATCAGATTCCTCTACAAGAATACTTAACTAGTCAGTGTTCCTTTCTAAACCAGTTCAATTTCCAATGGATTAGTATTTCATTGGGCAGGCTCCTGCTAGCCACTCTCAGGCAATGTTACCAACTGCCAACCTAAATCAAATGGGAAAAGAAAATTTCCTTTTGCAGCTCCTTTTCAATGTAGAATCTAATACTGTTATAAATCTATCCCAGTTCTAGTCTATAATAACAATAATCCTATATGTACTGGCTGATACTCTGGCCAAATTAGGAGTCAGCTATGATTGTAGAATGGAAGCTTTCAGCAGTCAAAAAATTACCACTCTTATATATCCACCTTTCCCTCAAGAAATAGAATACACAACTCTTTTTCTTTCTTCAGTTCTCCACATACACTTCCCTATTGGGATTATATTGCATCAAGCTGCTAGACCTACAAAAAGTTGCAAGGCAAGGCCCATTCTGGATGCCAAAAATTGATATGTATCATCAACTTCCCAATAGCTCGAACTCAAGGCCACTCACATAAATGCAAAGAGTCCTCTCTTCATCTTCCAAGGCCAAAACAGATGGTGTCCAATGGAAAACGGTATAATCAGCAGACTCTCATTTTCCAGTCAACTTTGGCATTACTATTCGAAAGCAAGCATAAGCCTAGAGAAAGTGAGAAGCCACAAACACTGAGGGCAAACAAAAGTCCCTCTCTTTTTCTCAAGAATGAGACACCCAACAGTTGTCGTAGTCTAACCAGACCGCCATGGCATTGCAGAGCAATTATAAAACCCTAGAGAGCCCGGAAACCTAGGGTTTCCCAAATAGCGCAGTCGGTTCCAGAAATGAAACGCGCAATCGGAACAGAGGAGAAGACGAAGCAACTCTACCTCGAGGAAACTGAAATCGATTGAAGAACCAGCGGTGGTCACCGCAGAAGACAATGATCCAAGAAGCCCTAACCGCTCCAATAACTGCCAAATAATGGCCCCTTTTTTTTGTTAATTTAATTACTCCGTATAACAATAGGTTGTCGGGAAAAATACGTGTCGAGATAGTTCAGAGCAATGCGTCGAAGAGTCGGACAGCAATATATGCCTATGTTGAGAGCGACAGAAGGAGAGAGAGAGAGCAGTGCGTAGGATTAGGGCGAAAGAGCGAGAGAGATTGGGGAAGATGAGCAGTGAGATTAGGGCAGATATAGAACAAGTATAGAGATAGAGGGTTTGCGAGGAAGTTGGGTTTTAATTTCGGAGATTAACCATACCAATTACCAAATTCCAATATAGATACAACCAACACGCAATAATAATAAATAATAATAATAATAATAATAATAATAATAATAAAACTTCTGCCCACACGGTTTAACTCAATGGTTCAATAGACAATATTTAAGAAAATAAATAATGACATTCTATAATATCAAGCATATTTTTGTTTCGACAAATAGTAAAATACCAATTTTGACCTCACGTTACGGCAAATTATTGTATAGACCATGGTCCACACAGTGTTATACTGTTATGAAGACCATAACAAAAAGTACATTTTTAATCAATCGTTATACCCTGCACCACGGCGCACATAGCACTATGTGCCCCGCGCCTCCCAAAACGCATCGTTTTGGTAAGTTATGTAGGGAATTAACGTGATTATGTGTATTTGTTTATACAAGTATGTGTATTTATTTATACAATTATGTGTATTTGTTTATATAATTATGTGTAGTTGTTTATACAATTATGTACGTTTTTTATACGATCATGTACATCTTTTTTTTATACAATTATGTACATCCGAAACAGAAAATTTATGTGTATTCTGTTAAGAGTTGATGTGTATTATGTTAAAAGTTTATGTATATTATGTATTATGTTAGATTATATGTATTATATTTTTTAAAAAAAGGCATGTGTATTTTGTTATACAATTATGTGTATTATAGTAAAAAATTATGTACATTTTTAACATGAGATTTTTTTTTTAAAGAAAATTAACCACCAACACAGGGTAGCGAAATATCAAAAAAAAAAAATTAAAAAATAATAAAAATTGAAACGACGTTGTTTTGCATCATGGCGCACAATGCAATGCGTGCCCTGGTGCAGGATATAAATTGTCATTTTTAATATATTGAATGTAAATTATTTTTGTACTGAATGTACATTATACAATATAATGTACACTCCGTAAAAAAAAATGTACATCTCATGAATACAATGTACATTATCTTTGTAATTAATGTACATTATTTTTATATTAAATGTACATTATTTTACAGTATATGAAATATGGTCCATACAACTTGTGTGAACTATAATTTGCCACGCTACTAGCGTAGTAACAATTTTGGCCCGTAAAAATTATTGATAGCCAAATGTTATTCGATGATTATCATTTTTAATCTCAATTTTGATCGTTCTGATCACTCGTGCGACTCAAACATTTTGGAATGTTAAAATTTTAAGATTATTTTCGTTCATCCATATGATGGGCAGCCTGGGCCCTTTGGTTATCTCACCAGTATCTTTTTCTCAAAATTGATATATTAAAATAATAGTCATCAAATAACATTTGGCAATCATTAAATTTATGGACCATGAGACAAAAATTGATATTTACTCTTTCAACAAATAACAAGTTCGACACAAAAATCAAATAAAAAATTGTTTTTTACAAGACAAAGAAAATAGCTAACACTACTATATATACATCTTTTAATTAAATTAAGGAAAAATGACACTTTTTACCCCTGAGTTATATACTTATAGCACTTTTTCCCCCTCAATTATTTAGGTAAGCACATTAGCCCCCTCAATTATTCTAAAAGTGGTGCTTTTTCCCCCTAATATATTAAATTGACATTCATACCCTTAGAGTAAACATTTTATTTATTTTACTACTCCAACAAATTATTGCGTATACGTAGGGATGACCACGGTTTGGTTTGAATTGAACCGGATACTAAAGCAATCGAATTAATAGTTTCCGGTTATAATTCAGATCTAGAATCCAATATTTAAATGTCAATTTATTAAAATTATGTATCAAAAAAATTGAATCTTGAACCGTGAACCGGTGGTTCCGGATCCGATTCGCGATTTTGAATCGTCTTTATTTTAAAATTTTATTTTTTATTTTAAAATAGTCTAAATTCAACAATAAATGTATTTTATTTTTTTAGTTCTGAACATGAACCGTCCGTTCCGGTTCACGATTTTAATAAACTCTAAATATCGAATTTCGATTCTAAATTGTAATTGAAATATTTCGGTTTGGTTGCTATAGTGTTTGTTTGGTTTGAACCAAATTATGGTCATAATTTGTTGGAGAAAAAAAATAAATTAAATATTTAGTTTAAGGGTAAATATGTCTATTTAACATTTCAGGGGGAAAAACAGCCACTTCAATAATTTAGGGGGAAAATATGCTATAGGTATATAACTCAGGGGGAAAAAATGTCATTTTCCCTTAAATTAATTGTATATGGTCTCTTTTACCATATACACATCTCTTTAAAAATTATGTTCCACATATGAAACTACCTTACTATATATAGTTTGTCTATCCTTCTTTTATCAATTTCTTCACTGAACACAATATTTGCCATATGCCTTTGATTCTTCGTCATCTTACTTCACAGTTTGATTTTTCAAAGATATTTCACCTAACAATAAGATGTGAAAAATGAACATATATCAATTTTGGTCCTACGGATATTAATAAATAACAATTTTGAGCGGCAGAACTTAAACAAAGAAGTGATTGGAGTGATTAATTTTGGTACTAAATTAAAGTCGTGGATGAAAATTGATATAAATTAAACAGGTTGACCAATTGGTATTTGCTCTATTAAAAAATAAGGGAAAGATTAGTAAACCATTGACAAATAGCCCTTTCACAATTGAAAGTACAATGAAACCCGATATCATGAGTACAGGGTAAGGTACCCGCATGGATAGCTCAACTGGTCACAGAGGTGAAACTTTGAAAGAATGACCAGGGATTGAGTCTCAGCAGCGGCAGTGTGGGAGTAACCTCTCAAAGTGAGGGGGATTCCTTGTGCGCAGTGAGCACCGGTCTAATCTCTGTGGTTAGGATTAGAATGTGAATCAAATACTTGGTAATGGTATTAGTTTTGGTGAAAGTGTTTTGTATTTTTGATAGTATGATGGAATTAGAATGATTACCATGTTTAGTTATATATGACTCTATAATAATGAGAATAAATGTTTTAAAAATACGAACATAAAATCAAGGTAATCGATCCTAATATAATGACATCCAAAGCATCAATATGAACCAGAAAAAAAAAAAAAAACAAAAACAAAAACAAAACAAAAATTTAAAAGTACTAATTTAAATTTAAAAATTAGATTACCAATAAGATTGGAATGATACATATTTTTAATTAGTGAATGAGATTTTTAATTGAAGGGGTAATCAAATCTCATAGTTGAGTTTTAAAAAGTTGTCAACTAAACACTAACTATGATTTTGATTCTCATTCTTAATGTGTAAATCCATGAACCAAACACACCCTAATTATCTCCTTCTTCTTCTTCTTCTTCTTCTTCTTCTTCTTCTTCTTCTTCTTCTTCTTCTTTTTTTTTTTTTTTTTTCCTTATTAATGTTATTCATACTAAAAGTATTTTGTGATTTCTTTTGCAATAGGAGGGTAACATTAATTTGTTACGTGTGGTGTTATTTGAGGATGGTATTGAAAGCAAACAAACTTAAAATGTCCTTTTATGATACAATTATATTTTATATCACTTGACAAATTTAAAGGTGTATGTCTACATGTGCGTGTATGTGTTTGAGTAGTACATGATGTAAAACAATAGTGTACAATTTATGCAATGGAAATATATGCTGTTGAGTTGGTATAATGCTTAATTATCATGATCATTATTAATAATATATTAGTTTTACACGAGTATTGCGTGACTGATTTAATGCACAATGTTTGTATTTAAATAAATAATTCGAAGTATATCAATGCAATTGAAGCATGTGCTCCATCTCAACTAAAAGTCTAAGCTGATAGTTGGATTGCACATTAATGGTTATATGCTCAACACGTCCCCTCACGTGTGCGGTGGGTTCCAAGCAACATGTTGCTTGGACCGTAGTCGCTTATCAAACACGTTGCTTGGACTACCCCTCACGTGTGCGGTGGGTTCCAAGCAACACGTTGCTTGGACCATAGTCGCTTATCAAACACGTTGCTTGGACCGTAGTCGCTTGCTTGGATCGTAGTCGCTTGCTTGGACCGTAGTCGCTTATCGGGTGACGTGACCTTTGGTCTAGCTCTGATACCAAATTGAAGCATGTGCTCCATCTCAACTAAAAGCCTAAACTGATAGTTGGATTGCACATTAATGGTTATATGCTCAACAAATGCAACCTTGCCAAAAGTTCTCTAAGCAATGGTTTGAAATTTGCCAATACTCAATTTGGTCAATTAAACATGACGTTATATTTCACCAATTTTTACCATTTATGTAGTGAAATCAATGCAACAAAAACACAAAAGCGTCAATGAATAACTTTACTTTTGGGGTCTACATATTTAATTCTTCCCCAACAGTAAAATGGACAATTTGATGAAGCAAATTAAACTTTCTTGATCTAAAAGACTCCACGCCACCTGAACTGTTCAGAACAAATCCTTATGAGAGCTAAAGAACTGCATAATTAATACATAGAAAATTTTCATAATTTTATGATTTTATAATTTTATGAAGCTTTTGCTGCATAAACCTTCTTTTAATCCACATACAAATTGCCATGTAGCAACAAAGCCAAACATTATGTAAAATATGATACTTACTCCACTGAAATTGATGCCACTGCCAAACTCATTCAAGTTTGAAATTGATTCTTTGATATCGAAGTCAACAATTGCATTTAATTGGCCAGTATTTGTTGTGACTTTATCAACCTTGTGGAGTATTGAAACAGACGAAGGAGTGACAACAAATGGTTGAGTCTCACCAGACAAGATCTTTGATTCCTAAGACATTTAATTGGCCCACATAGGTTGCATTTTCAACTTATTCCATCACGATAAGTAGTGACTCTTGCTTAGTAACAACAATGTTTTTGGTTCAATCACATCTCTTTTGTCAAATGCAAAACGTTTAGTACAATTGTAACTTCATACAAACTAGATTTCAGGATTGATTCCTCTAGAGTTGGAAAATTTTTCGAGCCTTCAAGTGTTTTTTTTTTGGTTGGGT